TAAAGAGTTAGACATTTTTCCTGAGTCCTCGTCTGAGCGACTCAGCTCGTTAGGGCAAGATCATTTCTCACCTGAGTGAGATTACCTCTCACCTGAGCAAGGTGACAGTTGGGCTAAATTCATTCTATCTCGCTTGAGCAAGAATCATCTCGCCGAAGCGAGGTTGCCTTCAAAACATGTGATTCTGGATGTTCAGTCTCGTTTAAGTAAGATCTGTCTTGCCTAAGCAAGACCTCTTGCACCATACTTCTACCAAAATACTCGTGAATCATTCCAATACACTTTCACACTATATAATACTAAACAACTCACCAATTTATTAAATAAATAAAATAGAGGGTGTTACATAGCTCTAATCGTATTGTTTAAACACATTGAGATTAAATCATATACTACAGTTACATTGTCAGAAATTATACTCTCTCAATCTTTAATAAAAATCATCTATCCTAAAGTTTATTTACAATATACATTGTTCAAGACAATAATTCACAATATCAATCATACATACATAATAGGCAATAGCAAAATTGTAGAAACTTTAGATCATGTTTTATTCATAACTTCTATAAAATTTACAAATCATAGGTTTTTCACATGCAATAATTAATTTTTTTAACACTGTAGTTTTAGGAAAAACATTAGAGATCTACTATCTAAAATGTAACATCCTAATTTTTATTCCCTCCATGTTCAAGTGTTAGCATGATTTTATCTTTTTCAAAAGTAATTCAATGTATTTTACAAAATTTTATTATTTTTGTTAAAGATGTTTTGAGATAAAAGTATTTATTTTTATTTCATCAGGATAGTTTCTCTCTAAATACATGTTTGATTTATTTTTATTTTTATTTTAAAAGATGGAACTTTCTAACACTTAGAATTATTTAAAAAAATCCCTTAACCATATTTGATTTCTAAATTTCATACCCACTAGCAAAGGTGGTGTAGTGGTAGAAGGGTTAGCCCTTAGTTTGGAGTTGGAGGTCTCTAGTTCACACTGGACAAAGTTTTTGAAGTTTAACACATAAAATGACCAAATTGCCCCCAAAACACTTATCCCTTCCTTGGCTTAATGGTAACTTCGTTTCTACATAAAGGGGGAAACTCTATGTTGTCCTTGCATGTGTTGAAGAAGGAAGAAATGTCATGTGTTAAAGTGGGAAGAAATGTGGCATTTAGTGAAACACTTTTCTCCCTCACTATGAAAAGCTCTCTCTCTCTCTCTCTCTCTTACAGTCTCGGTTTCTCTCTTCTCCATAGCATTTTGTCCACTTTTTTGGCAAGCTCCAGCCCAAAATCGCTGCTTCTCATCACAAAAAAGTAAACCCCTTCCCTCTACATGCAAGGAAGAACCAAATCTTCACTTTCTCTCCTCCTAGAAACCCCATCCATGACTTTGTTGCACCAAGGAAAATCATTTTTGCCTTTGCATGTCAAAAAGGAATGCGTTGATTGCTCTTTGAACATCCAAGCAATGTAAAAAAAACTCTTCATCTTTGTTTCTTAGTGTTTTCACTGATCAAAGCAAAGAGATGAATTTTTGCACCTCCTCTATATAAAAGCTTGGAGCTTTCTCTGTCTAGCCACTATGTGAGTCAGTTCTGACCATCTGAATGTATTTTTGACCCTAACATCTGCATATTCAGATTTTGCAGTGAAAAATTATTCCAATTTAACTTGTTTCACCTAAAACAGACATCGGATCATTGAATTACAAGAAAAATGGTAAAAGCACGTATTGTTTATGCATTTTTCTGTATTCCAGTGACAAGAGAGACTAATTTAATTTCTTTGGTCTCTGAAACTTGCATGCAATCATCCGTTTATGATCCTCACAGATTTAGCTTTCAAACATAAGTGGTTTCACTCAAAATGGACATCCAATTCATAAGTTATAGTGAAAACGGTGAGATCTCTTCCTTATTCTGCATTTTTGATGTTTGAGCTGAAAAGGAGGCTGTTTTTCTAATTTTTGTGGTCTCTAAACTTGACATGAAAATAATCCTATGTGTTCCTTGCAGAATTATCTTTCCAACCGCATATCTTGAGCTTGAATCCGACATCGTTTGCTCCTTCAATCGCCTAAAATATGTGAGTACTTTCATGTTTACGTTTTCTGCATTGACAGTAGAAGAAAAGATTTTTATGCACTTTTGAGTAATCTTTTTTAACCCAAAAAAATTATTTTCATAAACTACATCAAAATAGCTTTTCAACGCATATTTTTATGGTAATTTTGGACTTCATTTGAATACCTTACGAAATGAATTACAAAAATGGTGTAAAGCCAAAAAAAAAATAGTGTAAACAATGGTGGATTTTAATTTTTCTGCACTTTTTTGTGAGTCAAAACTAGACTTTTAAAAGTTGATTTTGATCCTTAGGATCTTAAGTTTCTAACAAAATTTGCAGATCATAATTTGGACTTTGTTTGAATCCATTATACTTAATTTTATAAACATTGCCCAAATTTGAACTTTTCCTGTTTTCTAATAAGTGTGTTGTCATTTCTGAATTTTAAAAATAGTAGCTTTTGGCCATTTTGGCTCAAAAGATTCTGATAGATTTTTCTCTGAACTAGGAACACAACGAACTAAGAAATTGTAAATTCTTACATCGAGAAATCTAAGAAAACGAGCCTATGGACTACCTCACTTACCAAGGTAAGGGGAAAGAGGTATTTCACGTAAACAGTAAAAAAGGAAATAAATAAAAGAGGATTGTCCCTTAACCTCGAGGTCTAGAACACATGTATGAGGAGACATGTGGTATTTGAATTACATGTTGACATTTTTTAATCTTTACTTGAGACTTTGGATGTTTTAAAATGTATTTATGAGTATATTTTAATTTTGACAACCCTCAATTTTCGTTGAGAATTATTTTACACTTGATATTTGAGTAAATATTATTTTATGAAAATAGTGAATTATTTTAATTGACTTATTTACTCAGAGCTTGTTGAAAACCAAAGATCAATTTAATGGAATGCTTTATTGAAATGCCCAACATGAGTACGTATAATTTGTGTACTCTTTGAAAATATATAGTTTGGCGCATGTATTGATTGAGTAAAACACTAAGAATATACATATAAGCATATGCAGGCTGAGTGGGCACCATTTATGAACTTACCCTTTGAGGGTGAGAAATGCGTAATGATACGCTAAGAGAAAATTGGTATATAAGTATATGCATTCTAAAGTGTTTGGCCATGGTTTTGGCTTCAACCTCAATAATTAAATCTAATAATTAAAAGTAAACCTTTGTGAAAACTTTATTTTCTTTCTTCTTGAAAATAAATTAGTGTAACTCTAGCTAGGTAATGGTCAGAACTCAAGGAAAGAGATGAAGCTAGTGAGCTTGAAACACTTAGAAAAAGTGTATTGAGGCACGAGTATAAGTGCTTGTTAATTCTCTATATATATGATTTTTAATAGTTGATGAAATAATGTGAAATCTTAATTTTTCACTTAGATATTTTTAATTAGTTTTCTATGTTATTTTTTATAGAAAAAGGTAATTTGGAAGGTAAAAATTGCACAAAAATATATAACTATGAACCGCTCTCTTTGGTCCAGCTTCTGAGAACGGTTCACTCATAACCTCTCTCCAAAGTGCTATATATATAGAAAGGGGTTACGCATTTGAGAGCGGTTAAATAACTGCTCTCCAAAATTCAAGACATTGCATAGTGTAAGATTTTTTAACACTTATAACCGCTCTTTATGTTCAATCGGAACCGCTCTAACATCTCATTTCTGGCGTAGTGAGAGTTAGCTCAGCTTTGCCACATTATTTACCTTTTTAAAATATTTTAGGCATGATTATGCTTTTTGTCTTTATAAATGTAACATGTTTTGCGATAGATCCTTATAAAGTTTTTTGTTAGGATTTAGTCCTTTAAATGTTAAGAAGTTAGGATTTAGTCTCTCTTGTTAACTCCTCTCTTGTTAAATGTCAAAGAATCAATTCATCACTGCAACATATTGTCACGTCATTTAATTTTTTATTTAATTATTTAAAATTAATATTTGTAAATAAGTTCCTAAACATATTTTAAATATTTATAAAAAAGTTTCCTAGAATCCTAATCTCCTTCTCTTCCAACTCCTTTTTCTCTTTCTCTCCTCTATTCTTAATATTGAAAAGTTAATAAGCATCTTGACAATGGGTTAAAAGACATGCATCTTGTTGAAAATCTTGATGTGGATGCATAGAGCTTGCTAATAGAGCACCCGAAACTAATAGAAGGATAGTTGACAAATTCTAACTTATTAACATTTAAGAAACTAAATCCTAACAAAAAAAACTTTGTTAAGACTTATCACAAAACGTGTTACATTTTAGAGATAAAAAAAATATAATTAAGCCTAACATATTTAAAAAATTAAATAACATAGCAGTGATGTTTGAGTGTTAAGTTGTCTCTTTGTCAACCAGCTTATTACTTAACAGAAAAGAAGTTGACGACAAAGACTGAATCTTAACATATTTATATTTTAAGGATTAAATGTAAAAGAAAATAAATAATAAAAATTTATTATAAAATGTGTTATAGTTTATATTAAAATATCAGAATAAAAAGTAAAATTAGTTCTATTTTAAAAAAAATATATGTTATTTTTAATTTGAATAATACTAGTCATTTATAAGCTGTAGTTTACAACTCCTAGGTTCAAAGCTTGCACCTTTTTCCATGCAGCCATACTGATGCTCCTAACTTTTCTTGTCCGAGAAACCACATTTTCTCTCTCCAACAAACACTCATTGTTTTATGGGCTTCACTTCACGTGATTCTTCTCCCGCTAATCACACATCCCTTTTTCATACTCTGCTAAGATATCCGTCACCAATAGATGAAAGTAGCTGCCTGTACTACATATTACAATACAGTGTCTGAGAGGGAAAATTCCCTTGAAATTAATTCAACATGTATCTGCTCCTCCTAATCTTCCTCATATGTAATTCTCCATCTCTTTGCAGCTCTATGAGTACTGAGCTTGACGCTCTCATGGCCATCAAAGACTCTCTTGACCCAGAAAACCGTGTGTTGATCTCATGGACACCCCATTCTGACCCATGTAGCAGTGTCTCTTTTGAGGGTGTGGCTTGCAATGAGCATGGTCTTGTTGCCAATATTTCACTGCAAGGAAAGGGTCTATCTGGAAGGATACCTGCAGCCTTGGCTGGTCTCAAGAGCTTAACTGCTCTCTACCTTCACTTCAACGCCCTTAGTGGAATATTACCAACGGAGATTGCCAGTTTGACTGAGCTGAGTGATTTGTATCTCAATGTCAATAATCTCTCTGGTCATATCCCTCCTCAGATTGCCAATATGTCAAATCTTCAAGGTGGATTTCTCACTTCTAAATTTCTCCTCTTTTCTCTTCTCTCTCCACCCTTCTGCATGTTTTATGACATTTTAGTTCTTATCAAATAGACTTGTATTTTGTTTTTTTTCAATTTCATTTCTGCTTTTGCTATCTTATTTTCGTTTGCTCAGTCGTTCTGAACACTATACTTGGGTGGATGAAAGAGGATGCTTTGTGGCTTATGCGAGAGAACGGGTGTGAAATGATAGCAGGAACAAATGGAATTACATAAGAGCTTGGAAAACTCCGATAAACTGCATATCCCAGGCTCACATATTGTATTTTGAGACTGATCATTGTGTTTTACTGTTTAGAATCTCGGTGATCTTTTCAAGAGAAAGTTGTTTTGTTTCATTTGCACTTATTCCTGCCTTTTAAAGTAGCTGCAAATTATTCTAATCTGGTAAGAGCTTACAGTTTTGCAGCTTTGTTATAACAAGTTTACTGGGAGTATACCTACTGAACTTGGAAGGTTAAGGAAGCTCAGTGTTCTTGCACTGCAATATAATCAGTTATGTAGCGCAATTCCTGCAAGTTTGGGTGAACTGAAGACATTAGCGCGACTGGATCTGAGCTTCAATGGCCTTTTCGGTCCTATTCCAGTGACATTGGCTAACGCACCTAAATTGGAGAGTTTAGATATTCGAAACAATTCTCTCTCGGGTAGTGTCCCTACAGGTTAGGAACTTCCTATCTTGATTTTTTTTACAAAGCTTAAATTGATATGCTAATTCAATTCGTCTGCTCTATCTATTGATGTAGCACTAAAAAGACTGAAAGGAGGGTTCCAGTATATCAACAACCCTGGTTTATGTGGTGTTGGATTTGCTAATTTAGATTTTTGTAAAGCAGTAAGCAGTTCCGAACCAGTTAAACCTGAACCGTATGAACCTAGTAATGTTCTTCCTGCATCAGTTGAACCACAAGCGCAAAATTGCAGCAATGCTCATTGTAAAAAGACATCAGAATCTTTAAAAATTGGTTTGGCTTTTGGGGTGATTGGAGTTATTGTTTCTTCGACTATTTCGGGACTCCTTTTTGTCTTGTGGTACCGTCGTTGGAAACAGAAAACTGAAAGCACCGCTGACACTTCTGAAAACCAGCTTAGTCCTTATCAGATCAAACAAGCATGCAGGAAAAGTGCATATCCCCTTATAAGTGTGGAGTATTCCAATGGATGGGATCCATTAGGCAAAGGTAGAAGTTGTTACTCTCAGGAGATTCTCGAGAGCTTTATGTTCAATCTTGAAGAAGTGGAGAGCGCAACTCATTGCTTCTCAGACCAAAATTTGATGGGGAAAAGTAAATTTGCTGCTGTCTACAGGGGAATTTTGAGAGATGGATCGGTAGTGATTATAAAGTGCATTGCCAAGACAAGCTGCAAGTCTGATGAAACTGAATTCGTTAAAGGTTTGAAGATATTGACCTCATTAAAGCATGAAAATCTAGTTCGTTTGAGAGGCTTTTGCTGTTCTAAAGGTCGGGGACAATGTTTTCTTATTTATGATTTTGTCTCAAATGGGAATTTGTTACGGTATCTTGATGTTAAGAAAGGCAATGCTAAGGTACTTGAATGGTCTACCAGAGTATCCATCATCCATGATATTGCCAAAGGTCTGTTTTCTTTCCCTTGTTTCTTGAAGAATTTCTTGTTAAAATATTTTCAACCTGGCTCATAAATTCTTATTCTTGTTGACACATTTGTCTGAGTCCACTCATTTTTCCCACTCAAGGAAGGGGACAGAAGGACCATGCAGGCCCTCCCCTTTCCTGCATCCATAGAGGCTTCCATTATTGGGGGCCTTGGATAAGCTTTTATTAATTGACCTTGGCCCCCTTTTAAGTTCATGTAAGTCACAGCCAGCCTGTACATACTCTGACTCTGGTAAATTTGGCCTCAATTCTTTTGGTGGTATTTCATGTAAATACTTATTTTCCCAATAAAATTTTCTATTATATCAAATTCATGAAGCAAAAAGTAAAAAAGAATGTGAGGTACTCTCTTCTGGCATTGTTTTGTTGGTTCACTATCATGTTATGAATGTCATGTGCACAAGTGACAGATCTGCTTTCCTTTTCTATCCAGGCATTGGTTATCTGCATGGGAAGAAAGGAAGCAAAAATACTCTAGTTCACCAGAACATATCAGTTGAAAATATTCTTCTCGATGCTCGGTATAATGCTTTACTTGCAGATTCAGGACTGCACAAACTGCTTGCAGATGATGTTGTGTTTTCTACCCTCAAAGCCAGTGCAGCCAGGGGATATCTGGCTCCTGAATACGGGACAACTGGTCGTTTGACCGAAAAGAGTGATGTGTATGCTTTCGGAATGATAGTTTTCCAGCTTCTTACTGGAAAACGTGATATCACTCAATTTAGTCGCCAACGGGTTGAAAGTGCTAGTTTTAAAGATATAGTGGATGATAATCTTGAAGGGATGTTCTCAGAATCAGAGGCAACCAAACTGGGAAGAGTTGCTTTGCTTTGCACCCATGAATCTCTGCATCTCCGACCTTCTATGGATGATATAATGCTACAACTGGGTGATATACAGTAGATGTTTATGACATAGCGTGATATCTTTTCTGCTTTTTCTGCCTTTCAAGTTCAAATTGGTAAAGATGGAGTCATTGTAAAATTTTATCATTTCATGAGCACTGACCGCGTCTTAAATTCGTGTGTTTTTTAGTTCAGAGCACGTAGTGTTAAGGGAAATTCCCCATGTTAAAAAAGAAAGATGGGGTGCCTTCTAGGTTCTGAATGTGAACTTTAATAGATTGGTTATTTAAGTTGTTCCGTTTTGTGTTCTAGATTTGTCCCATGATAATTTGGTTTTCTAGTTGTTCCGTTTAGTGTTCTAGATGTGTAGGCTAAGTGGAAAATGATTTGAGAAAATGTAATTTATACTTGTTGTGGGTATCTTCATAGATATAGTTGAGACTAATATTTCAACGGGTGATGGTTAGATAAAACATTATTTTAGAATGTTGATTTGATGATTCAAATTTTAGAATAACAAGTTTGTCTTGAGTTACTATTCACTTCTATTACAAATAATTCACTAAGCAGTAACTATTGGGTAGAGGGGGGTGGGGGGGGGGGGTCCATATAAAGAAAAGACAAAATAAGAGCAAAAAGTAGACGTGGTAAAAGAAAGAAAATAAAAAGATAGAAATGACAGAAACTTAATGTAAAATATATAAAAGTTGGAGTACATGCAATGTCTTACGGTCAAAATAGCGAAATTCAAGTCTCAAAAATTGTTTATAAGTGATTTTGCTTAATGTTTAAAGGTAGATCTAGTACTTTGATCCTTAAATTGTTTTTTTTTTTCCGATTCAATTCTATTAACAATTTTTTTTTATTATTTTGACATTCTAAATTTTAAACATTCAACAAGTTAGTGCATTCTTTGGAAAACTTTTTTTAAGAAAAATTTATTGTTTATTAGCTTAAGTTTATTTTTTGTTTCTACACTTTTATGAGATTTTAATTTTAGTCCATTTGATAATTTTTTTAGTTTTAGTTTCTAATTTTTCTATATTATAAGACTTTTGATTTTTCTTGCTATTATAATGCACAATAAATTGGCACGTGACAATCTCTTAATTATCTATGTCATTATTTGACATGTCACTAGAATCAATTGAATTTAGAAAAAAATAATAAAATAAAAAATTAAAAGAATTAAAAATTAATCTCGTGAAAATGTAGGGACTATAAATATATTTAATCTTTTATTTTTCAAATTAAACACATATTTAGTATTTTTTGTTAACTTTAACTAACTTTGTTATTAATGATGTTGAACTATCTTTTTAAGCTTAAAAGATGTTTCATTTTAATTCTTTAACTTTTAAACATTCAATAATTTGATGTTTTGACTGTTATTTTTTGGACAACTGTATCTATCGAAAAGTAATAAAAGGATTCTAAAATAATTTTTAAAATATCATTCCACAAGGATTGTTTCCAAATACTAAGAATTTGTTAATTCAATTGTTTGAACTTAAAGCATATGAAATTAAATAAAAAAAGGATTCAAATTTGAAAGTAATTAAAAAAAAGTTAAAACAGTGTAACCTTTGACAATAAACTAATCAAGAAGAATCTAGGGTATATGGTTTTACCTTTACACTTCTCTATATTTACTTTTAGATTAATTTTAATTCTGATTTACTTATGATTACCAACAACTCATATTAAATATATTAAAACCCAATAGTCATATAAGGTAAAAGGAAGAGAAAGTATAAAGATTCTACAAGCTGTTAATTTAATAACAATTAAAAGAGAAGAACTAAGTTTAGCCCACCAAATCCTTTGTCTCTTACCCTATAGATCCATCATCAAATTTGAACATACAAATATAGCTCAATAGGATAAACATTAATCAAGGAAGGAAACATGAAATTATCATTAATCACAAAGATCCAATAGAGTCATGCAAAGGATCTACCATAATCCTAACTATAGATTTAGCTAGACAAAATAATATAATAGAAAACTAAAATAATAATAAATCAATCCATAATTATTCAAAAAGTAAATACAAACTAAAAGAGTCTCCAGTGGAAAAAAGGAAAAAAAGCTCATGATCCTAAGAAATGCTCCTAAAGCTCCAATAGTCATCAGCGATCATTCAACAATAGGTCACTGTCATTCAACAATGGAAACTAGCCAAAACCAAGATTCTAGGATGTCTAGGTCCTGTCTATAAGATTCCTTTACTAGGATTTCAAAACCCTAATATTTCTTCAAAGTTAGATTTCTTGAAGGCAAGCACGGTCGTGCAAAGCCATAAGCATGACCATACATGTGGCTTGAAGCTCCAAGTGTTGGTTGCTACAAAACCCTATTTTTCATCCAATTTTAACCCAAAATGCATCCAAAATCCAATTGTGACCTTCTCATGTTAAATTGCACAATTAATATAGAAATTAGTATAAAAATCTAATAAAATAATAGTCATGCATAAAGATATAGACGATTTAAGTATGCCAAAATAGAGTCTTTTTAATTGCCCTTATTCTTTTCTTTTCCACTTAAATGAATTTCAATGGTATTTCTAGTGTTGGTGCCAATTAGTCCTCTAGTTACATTCCTCTTGTCACAACCCTTTTTTTAAAGGATTCATGACATGCTACTAAATTAAAACATGTATAAATTTTTTACAATTCAAAAAGAATGTAGCTTACATTTCAATAGTAAAATCAGGCCTATGAGGCATTAGCATAAAATTATGGACATATGCATATATAATTGATCTGTAACAATATTTACATAAGGATTTGATATGGAGCTCAAAATATAATTTATAACTAAAAATTACATCTCTTGAAGACTATAGCTAAATAATCTAGACCTATCCACTAAGACCTAGACTAACAAAATGAGTAAAGCTACAATTCTTCAAAAAATCATGATGATTCTAAACATCCCTCAGCTAGACCCTCTAATACGGAAAGTAGATGCATCGCCTATCACACCTACTCACGTACCACCGTACAATCATCGCAATACGCACACCAACATAGATAGATTGTAAGGGTGAGCTTATATAACCAACAGTCATAATCATAGAGTTTGAAAATATATTAGAAATGTTTATACAACTTTCATAAATTTCAACAAATAACATAGTAATTTATATTTTTACAGCTTTCGTAATTTTCAACAAATAACACAGTAATTTCAACCGATTCCCAACCCATCTAATGCAAATGCAACAGCTTAGTTCCAAATGGTCTCACAGCTTAATTAATCTAGAAGAAACTTACAATTTGTCGGTCTGGAGTGACCCATTGATGTAACATAGTTTAGGTTTACATTTATAGTTTTATTTTGATTTATAAACACTTTTAATATGTATTCTTTTTAGAGTTTTTACCATTTTCTACTTCTTTGAATAAATTGGGCTTGTTACAAATAAATGCTTTAATTTTGTACTTTTTATTATTTAGACCTTTGACTATTCTTTTAACCGTAACTTTTTCTACAAATATCATTTTTGGCTGATTTTAGTTGCATTGGATTCTACATATCTAGGGCTTCAAAATGAATATATAGATTTCTTGATTTGGTGTAGTTTTTGATTTATTATGATTTTTTCAATTTGAGACAGATTTGCTGAATATTGTTGCGAGATTGCATTTGGACCCTTTGCTATTAGATAATTGTATTTGGACTTATAGTTATAACTGATGCCTGAATTTTGGCCATTTAGTTTACCCTAATCAAAACCTATAATAGACTAATAAAGTTTTAAATTAAAGGGCACATGCATACACGTGCGATTAGACACTTTGAGTTTTTGAGATTTACCCTTTAATAAGAATCCTTGTTTTTACTTTCTCTCGAATTCTCCCATTCTTGCTTGGGTTAAGTGCTTCAATGGAAGGCTAAACCTCTTGCTCAATCTGCAGAATCTAGATTCTATAAATCTGATTTGAGTTGTGAGCCAAATTGCTCCGATTTTGTTCTCTTTTTCTCTAATCTTATATTTGTGTATTACAATTGTGATTAACTTTTTTTGTGATTAGAGTTCAAATTAGGACTCGATTGATGCTCTGATTTGACAATTAATGTGGATTAGGTTAAATGACAATTTGATTTAATTCATAACTCTATTTAATTAGGTTATTCGATTGAATTGGATGATTGTTCAAACACGGATTAAAATCTTTTGATAGTAATAATCGAAGTTACATGCATTTGGTACTCTGTTGATTGATATTTCTTAATTTGTTTTTACTCAATTTTATTTTGTCCATAATTTTATTTAATTAATTTGCAATTTTTAAATTCTCAAAATTTATAGAATCAAAAACTGAATTTAACTGAAGATGTGTCTCTGTGAATCGACCTCGGTTGAGCTTTATACTGCAAAACTCTTAGAGAAACTTAACTGTTTTGATAGCAACTCCGTATCATCTATCACCCATCCCGATATTTGGATCCAGATATACAGCATAGCTCAACTCAACATGTTTTCTAACCGTTACATGTCTACCCACCTAAACATATAACTAAGCTCTAGGATGTGATGAAACAATCAGCATGACGCATGTCAGCTATATATATATATATATATATTTATTTTTTTTTCTCAGCCAGTCTCAACATTTTAAATATTCATCACTGTAACACCTTAATTTTAATAAATAGTTTTCACAAAATGGGAATAATAAAATTTTTATTTAAAATATTTTTCAACACATAATTTTATCAAAGTATTTCAAAATAATAAGGGATTACAAATTTATATCAAATGACTGTTACAGGGCTAATTCAATTACATAAAAGTTTCAAAATGAATTTCTAGTTATAACACCTTATTTTCAATATTCAATAAATAATAATTTCGCAAATTCGGGATAATAAAAGTTTCATTTCAAATAAAGTTCTCAACCCATGGTTTCATCAAGTATTTCAAAATAAGAAAAAGGGGTTACAATCTTTATCAAATCACTACTATAGAACCCATTTAAATATATTATTTCCAAATTTATATCTTAGTCCTATAGCAGTTCCATCCACTCCTTTCACTGAGTCCGG